CGTTGATGCGCAACGTTGATGTAACTGAATGTATATTTATAATATTGTATAATCGTGTACTGTGACATTATCGGCATAAGACTATGTCGCAGGAAGCGGCTGAATCCATCCATGTGAGACGACTTGGAACTTCGCCAGGGGTTTCGCGGCTCGAAGTTCACACATCTACCGATTCTTATTCGCGACTTCTCTATGCGACATCCTTTGCGGAATTTCTGTCCCTTCGACGACAAATAGGGATGTCCGATTGGCGTCACGTCGGGCATTGCTTGTGTGCCACAGGGATTTCCCTTGGAAATTGCAACGTGAATAATTCGTTGCAATATGCGGCATTCGCCGCGCTAGCATCCTGAAATATTTCTATCAACTTGCATCTTATTCGCGCCGCTCTTAAGTTCCCGAAGATTTTTGATTTGTAAATTCCAGCTTCGCATAAGTTGCGATGATACCAAGCAACAATTATTTGCGCGAAGAAATTTTCGAGAGAAAATTATTTCCGTTTTACGCGAATTTAATTTATACGATGTACAATACAATGTAATGTATTTATTGCATTATCCGAGGATTGTATTATACATACAATATAGAGATCGTGAAATACTCGTAAAATGTAAACATTCTCTCTCTCTCTCTCTCTATCTTTCTCTCTCTGAAAGATACAGTTTGTTTATAATAGAAAATTGAGTTAAATAAGAACCTTTAAGCTCAATATTAATTAATTTATATTTTGCAATTAAATGGCTATTTTATAATTTTAATTAATATGAAATATAATAATATAGCGGTTATGATAATATTTGTGATGGTCATTAAATGATATCGCATAGTTATAATTAAATTCTTGGAAATATTGAGAAATGATTCGAGTTACAACCATGTTCAGCTCGTTATACACTATGAGTCACGGAAAAGTACGTAAAAACTTACCAAATAGAATTAATCATTTTTCTGCGAATATCAGAGAATCTTCTGGGCATTACTTTTGTCCGAGTTAACTGATAAAACTTAAAAAAATTTTTTTTCCAGACGTCAGCTATTTCTCGAGTTGAAGTCTTTATTTCTATGAACACGATAGTATGATAAGAAATTGTGAAAAGATTCGTTGTATAATAAAGAAGTTTCAAGAAAGAGAGGCAATGTTATCTATATAAACTTTTGCTAAGAAAGCGCGCGCTTTTGAATGCGTCAAAGAACTCGTGGATTAACGAAAAGTACACAGCTTGCGTATATAAGTATCTCTTTTCGAATCGCCGGTTTCTCTTTGACGGGACTGAAATCGCGCGCGAGAGAAAACTTTCATTTCAACTTATGTTAAAGCGCACCAAAGTTCCACAATAAGAACATTATCGATTGAAGGAAGCGCGATTCGCTAACTTCTCGCCGTGCGAAAAATGCTTTTGCATACATAGTTCTCGTTGTGCGTGCGCATGTGTGTACGAGAATAGGATCTTGTTGGGATGGCGGAAGTCGAGCTGGACGTTGTGTCCTACCGGAAATGTCGTCTTGCTCTGCTATCCGGTCTGCGGACCGGAATCGAGCTTCGAATGTTAGCTCTTCCTGTCGCGAATTTATCATCCCGGATCCCTAAATACCCAGGAGGATTTCCCGTCGTTCCCTTTCGATTCACGATAATACGAATCACCATGTAGCCTTGGGTGAATGGGATTAAGTCGGTTTCTCACGTGAATTCGCGGAAGATTGAGGCATTCTATCGACGATGTGATTTATTTAAAAGAAGACAATACGAAGTTCAATCCGGATTATAATACAAATACGACGACAAAATATTGTTTAATACGCGCGTAAATATTTATTGCTAAAACTAGTATAACAATAAATCCGTATCGTTATTATATATTTAACAAAAAATACGATTATTTGATATTAAATATTTGTATTACATCAAGTATGTAATTTGGATTGGATATTTACAATTTTTACCCAGAGTACATTTATCACAAAATAGATCAATGAAAACTATAATAAAAACAAAAAAGCGAACATATTATTCATTATGCAATAATATTGGTATCTTTTATATATTAAAAAAAAAAGAAAAAAAAATAGTCACGCTTCTTAAAGAAAGCGGCGTTGATGTTAAGTAGAGGATAGAAACGCTATAGGGATAACGCAACATCACTCGGTGGAATGGAAGTCGGAAATCCGTGGATAGAGTCCACTGCGAGAAATATCGATTTTCTTCGAGTCAACTATGCCCGGTCTTTCCTTCTTCTCGGTCGATTCCGGCAGAGGACCTGCGAGGAACATCTGCAGATCCTTCGCAAGCGAGGATGGTTCCCAAGGAACGCAAGGATCCACCGTGACGGCCACACGACGTACCTTTCTCGCTTTTTCCACCGCGAGAAAACTCTCTGGCATGCTCGTGACCTCCTTGTCCCTCACGCCCTTTTCCGATCTCCTTGACGTGTCTCGAGATTTTTTTGCAACCACAGCGCTGTGCAAAATATCGTGGTTAAATTATCGGAGAAATTTGGATCTGCGGATATTCTTGAAATTATGAGAAAATCACGCGATGTATTACAAAAACTGTTGAAATCTCGACGAGCTGTTTCATTCTCATGCAAATATATTGACTTGAGTCTACTATGATCCGAAATTGTCATCAAATCGATATTAGTATACTAACAGATAATGGAAATAAATAGTTTTGTGTAAACTATTTTCTTACATTCGGAATCTCATCGATTAGGTTTATATATGAAATAAAAAAATAATATTTTTTAAAATAAAGTAAGAGATAAAAAAAAGCTCTCATAATTCAATGAAGAAAAGGAATTTTGTAAATAAAATTATGTAGTCAAATCGATTGAAACTCAATTCCGAATTTAGCACCAGAACTAACCGGCTTTTCCAAGTTTCCTTGGCAGGTTTTCTTATTTTTGTCCTTGCTGTCCTTGCTCTGCCGGTTTCCTGGATCTCTCTTTTAGCTTTCTTCACATCTTCCATTATGACAGCTAGTTCTTCGGGCGTCGCCATCATCTCTTGAAGAGAAATTTTTTCTTTGTCGTACTTTTTAGTTAACTCCTTGCGCTTATAAACGCGCATCAGCTTCGTCCAGGACTTTCTGCTCTTCTGTCTCATTTTTTCCTTTTTTTCTATCAACGTCCTCACTCTGACATTGACTTTGTCCCATTTCTCATGGTCTTTGATTGCTCGATCTGTGGGCCTAACATTAGCGATTCAATATGTGCTTTTCACATGGATTTTAGAGTTGAAAGAGAATCGATAATAGGATCGAAATTTAAGTTGAAGTCATCCAATTTTTGACGACGTCAAGAAATCTCAAAAGCCACTAACGTTTTGTTGATTTCAACCAGCCTCTCGAACATTAAATATATGAAATGTGTTAGTTTTTTTGTCAAAGAATAAAAATGTGTGTGCAACGAAAATATAATATAATTAAAAAATATTTTTTAATATTACTATTAAATAAATGTGAAATTAATAAAAGGCCCTTATACAATACTTATCAGAAAGTTATTAATATTCTGACATCATATGTATTAAACGCAATTCAGTTGTAGATAAAAGTAAAGAATCTATTAATTGTAAAAGGAACTGAGATAGATGAGTCGATTAACACGATGGAACTTTAGCGCACGTTAAAAGTTTTTTTCAATACTTTTACATTTCTAAAAATACGCTCCATACCTAATTCTTATTTTTCCGAACGTAGTCCTGCGGCAGCAAATGTCGGGTTTGCATACGCCTATTTTGCATGGCCTCGGCAATCTGAAGGCGATATGCATCGGCCGTTTCTTTCGTAGCTTCTTTCTACGTTTTCGCTTACTAATCTTCTTTATAGGAGATTCTACGATCGCTTCCGCCAACGCAGGCAAGACTTCTTCTGCCATTACTTTCTTTTCTTCAATGTCTCGTACTGTTTCCGTCGCGGAAATCTCAGTCTTTCTTGGATATTTTTCTCGATTTTCCTTAGATATTTTCTTAGGCGGCGTTTTCGTTTCGATCTCTTTTGCTTCGTGTGTTGTCAAATGCGAATTTTTGTCGATTTTTCGACTAGTGATTTTTTTTACGGATCGCGTTATTTTTACAGATGACAAATCTGAATCTTCGTCCTCTATATATTTCTGTTTTTCCTGCGGATTGCAAAAAAATGTGATATAGATGAAATAATAAAGCAGTAAATAAAAATTTGATTAATTATTTGTGTTAATAATATTTTTTTTTATTAAAAGGCGGTAAATAAATTGTTTACAAATAACAATTGATTTAATAGATATTTAATTAATTACTTGGGAAGGGGGATCAATATTATTATAGTATATATAAAGTTCTTAGTGTATTAAAAATTATTGATAATAGATCTTACAAAATTAAATTTATGAAAACAAAAAACAAAATTTCTGGAAAATTAATTTAATATTATACCTTCTTGACAATCTCGAAGAATTTGTCTTCAACTTCCTGAAGTTCGGGAAATTCATCCTTAAGTTTTCTCTTTGACATAATTCTACTCTTCTCTCGAGGATCTTTTAATTTCTCCTGCGTCTTTCGTTTATCGCGATCGTTTATTGGCCGTTTATCCTTCTTTCTATCTTTTAGATCTACCAACATGGACTCTGATGCTTCCTCTATGGCAGTCCTCGCCAATTTTATTTCTTTCAACCGTGTGTCTATTGCCTTCACGAAATGAGAACATCTCTCCAGGTACTGGCATCAAATTCGGAAAAGTCTGATGATCATTGCGTTTATTTTATGTCTTTTGTAGCTAATGTGTTTTATAGAATTTTTGATTATAATACGCATTTTAATAATTATATA